GACGGACGGACGGATGGACAGATGGATGGATGGATGAATGGATGAATCAGTAGTTGATTATTAAGATAGACAGATAATAGAAAGATGATAAATACATGACAGAGAGACAGACAGACAGACAAATGATTGATAAACAGACAGATAGATTAACAAGCAATAGAATAAACGACAAAAGTAAAAAACAATGAAAACAGTAGAACAAAGGGTGAATTGAGAGAGAACAAATAAAAGAACAACAGACTGATAAAGCAAAAGAATGAATGACAAACATAGATAGAAAGAGGAAAACAAATGACAAGAACAAATGACAGATTATTCCAGAACAGAACAGAATGACAGAATCTTCATGTGTGTTTGAGATTGTGTGTTTGAGATATCTTATCGTAACATCTCACATCATCATGGTCTATTCACTCCAGTGTAGAAAATAGTAATAAAATATGACAAAAACACAGCTCTTCTCAGTTAAACTGTGTCAAAACAAATCCATCTCCGTCATGTCAGATACTTTTAATAGGAAGTGTGTAAGGGATTAAAATCAACCAGAAATCATTTACACAACTGTCAATACTTTGTTGGTCTGCAATGACAGCCTGTAATCTCTGCTGTCAAAACATCAAACCTGAACGTCAGCATTATCAGCTTCTTCCTCAGTTCTTCTTTGTTTGTTTTATTGAAGAGTTTTTGGGGAGTATAATTTGTTGTTGTCATTGTTTCATTTATTTGACACTTTTATTTATTTTTTACTTATATAAATGAACTATATCATCCTGCATCCTCTAGTCATTTATATTATTATTTTTTTTTCATAAAAATCGATCTGGTATTTGAATAATCAGAGAGATCATCACGTGTCTGAAATGTTCCTATAAAAATACTCATGATCTTACAGTACGCACATGGAAATATTGTGTTAAATTTGTTTATAAAAGCATCTTACTGTATATTTCCTATGAAAAAATTAGGTATACAGTAGTTTAGGACCGGGTGGTGTGATATTGTTGCAACAGAATAAACTGCTAACCGTAATAGATTTTTTTATTCGGTGTATACTGCCACATGTAAATAAGTGGGCACACATGCAGTTATGGCTATATGAACTATCACTGTGTAATAGTGATAGTTCATATAGTCAGCTGCTTTTGACACTGTCAACCACCAGATCCTGCTATCTACGCTTGAGTCACTGGGCGTTGCGGGCACTGTTATACAATGGTTCAGATCTTACCTCACTGACAGGTCATTCAGGGTGTCTTGGAGGGGAGAGGTGTCCAACCTACAGCATCTAAACACTGGGGTACCTCAAGGCTCTGTTCTTGGGCCACTTCTCTTCTCCATCTACACGTCATCTCTAGGACCAGTCATCTAGAGACATGGATTCTCCTACCACTGCTATGCTGATGATACCCAGCTATACCTCTCTTTTCATCCTGATGATCCCTCGGTTCCAGCTCGTATCTCAGCCTGCCTGTTGGATATTTCACACTGGATGAAAGACCATCATCTTCAGCTGAACCTCGCAAAAACGGAAATGCTTGTAGTTTCTGCCAACCCGACTCTACACCATAACTTTTCAATCCAGATGGATGGGGCAACCATTACTGCATCCAAAATGGTGAAAAGCCTTGGAGTAACGATTGATGACCAACTAAACTTCTCTGACCACATTTCTAGAACTGCTCGATCGTGCAGATTCGCACTCTATAACATCAGAAAGATCCGACCCTTCTTATCTGAACATGCAGCTCAACTCCTTGTTCAAGCTCTTGTTCTCTCCAAACTGGATTACTGCAACTCTCTACTAGCTGGGCTTCCAGCTAACTCTATCAAGCCTCTTCAACTGCTCCAGAATGCAGCAGCACGAGTGGTCTTCAATGAACCTAAACGAGCACATGTCACTCCGCTGCTAGTCCGTTTGCACTGGCTGCCAGTTGCTGCTCGCATCAAATTCAAAGCTCTGATGTTTGCTTACAAAGTGACTTCTGGCCTTGCTCCTTCTTATCTGCTCTCACTTCTGCAGATCTATGTGCCCTCCAGAAACTTGCGTTCTGTGAATGAACGTCGCCTCGTGGTTCCATCCCAAAGAGGGAAGAAATCACTTTCGCGAACGCTCACGCTGAATCTGCCCAGTTGGTGGAATGAACTCCCTAACTGCATCAGAACAGCAGAGTCACTCGCTACTTTTAAGAAACGACTAAAAACCCAACTATTTAGTCTCCACTACACTTCCTAATCTGCAATTGCCTCTCTGAATATCACACTAACTGTACCCCAAAAAAAAAAAAATACTAATACTACTAATACTTCCCTTCTTAGACTTTACAGACCTGAAAAGTTGCCTATAGCACTTATTCATTGTTGCTCTTGGTTGTGTAAATTGCTTCCCTGTCCTCATTTGTAAGTCGCTTTGGATAAAAGCGTCTGCTAAATGACTAAATGTAAATGTAAATGTAATATCATTGGCCGCATTTACACTGCACTGTTCAAGTCACTCAATTCCGATTTTTTTTGGCCCATGCACGTGTAAGCAAAAAACAAATCACATGGATTCCGATTTATTTAAATCAGATTCAGGCCTTGTTCATGTCTGGAAATGTATCTGATATGAATCGGATCTGCGTTCTCGTGTCTGCAGTGTAAGCAGGTAGATTTTCACCTGTCAATGCGAATCACGCGTCATTAAAAAGCCATAGCCAATGTTGTCAAGTCTGACACTTTCTTTTCAGAACAGACTTCAGCAGAGTCAAACCTTAAATCTCATACTTGAGGACTTTCATATTCATATTGCTTTCATATTGTCATATAGCACAGGTATTTAAGCATGTTAACGAGAGCGAGAGATTGCAATGTCCGTCACATAACCAATATAAACTAATATAAAACTAGTTCATAACGTGCATAAATCAGGCCATGGGCATTAATACATTAAGATGCCTAAAGGTTTAAAAAAAGCCTATATACCAAAAGAAGATGGACAAATGAGAACCTTTCTGTCATAAACTATAGTAAAGCAGCTTGTCAAAAGCAGATTAAATACAGGAATAGAGAAAAGAGCACTCTTTAATTGTCAGCTATAAGTCAGTGCCCGCTTTTATTTTTCCTGGTCATTGCGCTTTTGCTGGGTACTGCGCAAATGCAGAAGACCGGATACGGCTCACTTTTAAAAGATGATGTAAGCAGGTCAACAAAAAATGCAGCCATTGTGTCTGCTGCAGTCATGGTAAAGTGCCTCGATTATTACGCAGAGTACAGTTCCCAGCCATATCAGCCCAGGAAATCACATATATTTACAGTACACAATGTGAACAGTCACACTTTAAATAAGAAAATTATTAAAAGTCTTTGGTCATTTTGATCGAGATGCTAATGGTCTATTCTGATTCACTGACTTATGCTAAGCTAATCTAAAAGTGCTCCCGTAAGACCTAGATATCGGCTGAATGGATTTAAAAGTTTATGAATCCATCAATTTTACAGTAAACAAATGGCAGATGTGGTTGCCAGAATTTTACGATCAAAATATGGTAGAAACCATACATTTTTTTTTTTACATTTTAAGGTAAACTACCGCATTTAATTAATTTCCTAAAACAGCAACTTTTATTTTTTGTTGTTTAATACATGATGAGAAGAGTCCAGCTTTAAATAGGAAAATTGTTAAAACTCTTTGTTTATTTATTGAGGGAAATGCTAATGGTCTAATCTGATTCAATGGTCTATGCTAAGCTAAGATAAAATTGCTCCCATCAGACCCGAGATTGGCTGATTGCATTAATATGTTTTAAAAATCCATAAATTTCCACAAAATCCATTACATTTTTTTTTTTAAACAGCTAAGGTTGCCAGAACTTTCCTATAAAACATATGGGGGAAACCATAAAACAATGTTGAAAATTTTACGGTAAACTACTATTTAATTAAATTGTATAAATATACACAATTCAATACATACATACAGCAGGGAATTCTGGGAAAGTTAATTTTACTGTTATTCACCCTATATAGAAAGAAAGCACTGTTAACCAGTTTATGGATGTTTACTGTAGCATTTTTAGTTTTTACCAGTATGTTTTACTATAGGAGGAGTTGTAAAATAAGCCTTTAAAAATAAATAAATAAATAAAATAAAAATAAAACTGGTGTCTTTAAGAAAAAAACAAAACAATAGCTTATTCCTAAAGGGATAGTTCACCCCAAAATGAAAATTACTCTCCTACATGTGGTAACAAACCTCTGAGGTTTTTTTTCCCCCTCGAGTAGTTTTTTTGAAATGTTAACAGATTTTTGTGTTGAGCATCAGTTAAGACAACATTAGCAGCTGTCAGCTTTAATTTCGGGGAAAATTGGATAATTTTGAACTTTTGTAAGCTAATTTCTTTTTCTGGGTTTAAAATGATTTTTGGGGCGGGATCAAAATCAGTGACGTGATGCAAAACTGCAGGTGAAGTGATGACACGCCAGTTTCTCATTATTATTCATAACCGAGTTTTCTTATCCTATGAGAAGAGCATGCTTCTTAATTATTCATGAGCGCATGCTTTCCGAAGGCAAAGCAGACCTGCCAAGCTGTGAGACCTAATGACTGGGTGAAACCTCGGCCGGAAAAAAGATATTTAAAAAACATTGGAAACCGATAGCCATTGACTTAAACCAGGAGTTTCCACAATCGGTCCTGGAGGGCCGGTGTCCTGGAGAGTTTAGCTCCAACCCTAATCAAACACACCTGAACAAGCTAATCAAGCTATCATAGGTATACTAGAAACTTCCAGGCAGGTGTGTTGAATCAAGTTGGAGCTAAGATCAGCAGGACACCGGTCCTCCAGGACCGACTTTGGACACCCCTGACTTAGAAAGAAGCAAAAACAAATACTACAAACATCATTGGCTACCGGGTTTCTAACATTCTCCGAAATATCTTCTTTAGTGTTCAACAGCAGAAATTATCTCAAGTGATGGGGTGAGTAAATGATTACAAAATATTTATTTTTGGGAGAACTATACCTTTAAAAAGTCCACATGAACCAGAACCTGCAACCATTTTTTCCCCATATTGTGACGCAGTTCCTAGAGAAACGGAATATTAAATGAGAAAACATGGCCTTTTTTTTTCTACTGCGAGCTGATTGGATGTAGTAAAATAGGCATTTCATTCAGAAAGATCAGGAAAAGGGTTTTAGGAGAGTTACTACAACCTAACAGACTCCTCCTCCACGCCATTTCTGTTTGTTGTAAAACTGGCAGTTGGAGGGGCGTGGTTAAGTATGTTAGCCACACCCAATACCCCATTTATTTTTTCTTAATGAATGAATGATTAATTCATTTTAAGAACTCAAGCATGTTAAGAACTTTAAAAAATTCAAAAAGCTTAAAAAAGAGAAGAACAAATCAGATAAGATGAAAAAAGATCTACTCTACCCTTCCATCCATGAGCATCCCTGTCTCTGTCCTTCCTCAAAAGTGCTCCTGTCCTGATCTGGGCTCGAGGGGTTCACTCAGCACTGACAGCCCCCCGTCAGATCATACCCTGCAATCAAATACAGTTTTATTAGATCTGTCTTGCCGGGCCGGCGCTCCACTGCAAAAACATGTTTTGTTCTCTTTAACCTATTCCACCGGGGACGCAAACCAACAGTGACACTGTCATTTGCGAGCGATGCAGTAAGACTCCCTTGTGGTCCAAATGTCAGATTATACTGTGCAGTACTAGTTATCCAACCCTAAATATAGCTCTGCGGGTATCAAGGGCTGTCGCAAGAAATTCACGCTTTCACATACTTGCCCTTTAGTGGAGCCTGTGACACTGTCATAAACCTTAAGAAGTTATGGAGATGAGACTAATTGTAAAATTTGTGAATGTCTCTATAAAGTCACTTTCGGATTCAGGCTGGGCTCAAAAACTCACCTGGCTACTGGTTAAAGATAGTACTTTTGGCTACGCTATACTATTTTACTATACGACTATACTAAGCTGCTTTTTAAATGTCTTATTTAATGCTAAATAGGTTCTGGTTGCTGTTTTCATGTGATTTGTTTTTCAAATATTTCCCTTATGATGTTTTACAGAGCAAGGAATTTTTTACTGTATTTCCTATAATATTTTTTCTTCTGGAGAAAGTCTTATTTGTTTTATTTCAGCTATAAAAAAAGCAGTTTTAATTTTTTTAAAACCATTTTAAGGTCAAAATTATTAAGTTATATATATATATATATATATATATATATATATATATATTTTTTTTTTTTTTTAAAACCCCTTGAATCAATTGAGAAGAAATCATTAATTATTTCTGTTTCATTTATTATCTGAAAGTCTGAAAGATCTCTTATTTTAAAAAAGTGAAAAAAATCACCACATTCTCTCGTTACATCTCAGTCACTTGAGCACCAAACTACTAATTCAATAATTTATTACTTTAATTAACTGTTAATGCAACCTACAAGCTAGCAAAATGAAGTAAGAAACAGGTGTTTTAGGAAAGTTTCTTTGTGAAGGGCAAAAGGTCCAGTAAAGGACCCGCAAACAGCCTTGGAATGGATCCACAACCCATTTGTCAACAAATCCAGATCAACTGCTGGAGATTGCAAATGGCGGCAGTCGCTCACCGCGTCTTTTCTGCAGGCATTTGGCTTTTTGTGCGCATATGGGGAGTTGCACAGTTTCAGGCACACCCAGTTAAAAACATCTTCAGAGTGCAATGAGCGCACTGCAAGACACGTGACAAGAACAGATCAATCAGTTTTACATTTTGTATGGAATATATACATTTCGTTAATTTCGCTAATTATCTCAGACAAACAATGCAGTGCTTTTTAATTTTCTCCATAAATAAAACTTTTATCAGAGTTGCAGCAATGTTTCTTTCAGCTTGTCATCCTCAGAAAAATGGTTGATGGTCACCTAGTAATCTACATACACTGTCCGCCTCCGGGCTCCAGTTAAAGAGTCAAGCATTGACCAGTCCGCGGTGATAAAAAGGTTGGAGACCACTGGTCTACAGAACAAACCATCACTATACTATGACTTGCCTAATTATCCTAAGTTGCCTAATTAACCAAGTTAAGCCTTTAAATGCCACTCGAGCTGAATACTAGTGTCTTGGAAAATATCTAGCAAAATAATTTGTACTGTCATCACGACAAAGATAAAATAAATCAGCTATTAGAAATTAGTCAAGTCTCACAGTGTGTTTGCATTATATTGATTATATAAGTGGTCCTCAAACTGTGGTCTGTAATACCACTAGTGATATGTGGGCTTCCTTTCAGTGGTATGCAGAGGAATCAAATATGTCATATGTACATGCTGCATATATTAAAATGTATGAAAAATGATTTATATGTGAATATGACATATAATAATATTCATTATATGACATATAGCCTATATTTCAAAGGTCCAGGCAACATTTTCAGGTGTTGATGAATTGGCTACTATATGTTAATACTTTACATTTAAGTACAGCACTTTTCTTTTTACCTTAAGCACATTTTAATTTAAATGTTGACGTTTTTAGTTTGTTTTAGTTTTTTTTTTTTTTTTTTTTTTACATAAAAGCACAGTACAGTGTTAACGTTCAGGCTATTTATGTTTAAAGTGGCTGACAATAATAAATATTCTTAATAATGGGAATTAATCTGCCACGTTTTTGAACTGTGCAGAACTGTAGCAGCTTTACTGGGCTACTACTACGCTACTGTATTTCAATACTGTTCATTATGGTGGTACTTGGAGAGACAATTTTTTTCTGAGGTGGTACTTGGTGAAAAAAGTTTGAGAACCACTGGATTATATTACAAAAATGTGACATGATTGTTTGGGACTAAAGCTTCTTTTATACCTGTTGTATCAAATTTGATACATGATTTTCAACACAATTTATTTGTAACAAAATCAATTAATTATTAGGTAATTATGTTTTGTTTCAATCAAGAAAACCTTTATTTAATAATATTAGTAACAATATAAACTTTATTCTTACTATAACAACTTGAAGTTAGCAGATAGTTCAAGCCAAAAAGCATTCGAGTAGTTCAATGAAAGTTGCCATCTTGAAAAGGTAAAAAAAAAAAAAAAGCCCTTCCACGGCCTGCAGTGTCATGAAATTCCACAAGGGGGGAGAATACAAGTATTACATCATATACAATGGGTTTTTAAACAAAGTATTGATCATGGTTGATATTATATAGGTCTTAGAAACTTGTGTATCAAATATGATACGTTCAGCTTTATAGGGTTAAGGGCCGTGAGATTGTGTTGGCCTCTCACATGATAGCAGGGAAAGGCACAGCCAATCAAAATGTCCGTTTGCGTTTTAGGGGCAGGAGGTTAATGTTGACTGGGATTTTTTTAAAAGTGGATGAAATTATTGGTGGAAACATTTCTATGGTCGGTGGATATTGGTGGGGGACGCGTCACCTCCGTCCACCCTAAATCTACGCCCTTGATCTGCATAACAATAGAATGACAAACCATATGCCCTGATGTTTAGAAATGTGTCGAAAAAAAATCTTAATTCCGTTAAACAGAAACTGGGAAAAAAATATACAGGAGGGCTGATAATTCTGACTTTAACTGCATATCATTCTCCATTTTGTTTTTGTCCTAATGAGATTTCAAAATTGCCAGAACGAAAAAGAGAGAGAGAGGGTAAATCGAGAGATCCTGATGTTGGCCGGGAGAGTCAAACAGGCCGGATGTGTGCACCGCTGATGGCGAATCTGCTCTCATGGCTCATTTGTTTCAGGTCACATCAGGAGGAGATGTTTCAGTCACAACAATGACACGTGTGAAAGGCCATCTGCTGCTCCAGATAAAGATAAGTGTTGTGCAGGCAGGCCGTGACTGTTCTGATAATGCTGAAGGTTGCATTGTCCATCACTGAAAGACCATTCACTCGCATGTGCGCACAATAAGCCATGAGTGTTTGTTTAAAGCGAAATAAGCAGAAGATATTGACATCGGTATGAAAAACACAGAAGCTACAGGGTAAAACAAAACAACGCTGAATTCTGAAAACACTTGTTATTAGCGACACCGATGGCTGTTTTGTGAACTGCGGCTAATAGCTGAATGTGATTCAATGATAATCCAGTGTGATCTCCTAATGAAATGTAACAATTTTACATTTTCTCAGTGTATCGGCTAATTCGTAAGAATTCATACAAGTTCAATCACATGAAAATAGGATTTTTAAAAGGAGGCATAGCACCAAACCCCTTCCGTAAACTCAACAGTCGTTGCAGTAAGAGCAAAACTGACTAAACTGTACAAATTAGATTTTACGAATTCATACAAATTCGTCATTACGTCAAAACGAATTGCCGCAAGATAGTGTTGGGTAATCTCACAGTAAAAGCCTTTTTCATTCTGTGTTTTGAGGTAAACACAACTTGGATATGTCATTTGAGGTGAAGACAAACATCCAGATGTTGAATATAGAGTATGTTTGAGAGTATACAGTGCATACATCACATTAAACATTTGCGAATAAAGAAAAGTTTTCCCAACAAATGAGTCAAACAGAAAATTAAATAATAATTCTATTAAGAATCAACAAGAAAAACTGAATTTGGAAGGTTTTCAGGCATTTATCATAAATTTAAGTTTAATTTAATATAATTTAATTGCCAATATTGATGACAAATATCCAGATGTTGGATATAGCATATATTTTAAACACTACAAATATCACATGAAACATTTGTGAACAAAGCAGCGTTTACATCTAAGTCAAAGAGAACAAAACATTCGCTTCCTGATAAAATTATGCCAAATATCAACAAGAAACCTTAACAAATATCATTATTAACAAGTATCATTTTATTTATTTTTACATTTTTTTATTACATTTTTATGTTTTTTATATAAATTCATTCATTTTCTTTTCAGCTTAGTCGCTATAATAATTAGGGGTCGCCAGAGAGGAATAAACCAACTTATCAAGCATATGTTTTACGCAGTGGATGCACTTCCAACCCAACACTGGGAAACACCCATACACTCTCACGTTTACACATACACTACAGACAATGTAGTTTATTCAATTCACTCACAGCGCATGTATTTAGACTGTGGGGGAAACCGGAGCACCCGGAGGAAACCCACGCCAACATATGGAGAACATGCAAACTCAACACAGAAATGCTAACTGACCCTGCCAGGGCTCGAACCATTTTAAGCAGTCTTTTGTATTTCCTTTATTTTTTATTTAATCTTTAAATATGTTTTTATTTTCATTCATTTAATTTAGTTTAATTTATGAAAATAAAAAAAAGTAATTGAATTTATATCAACAAGAAAAATGGAATTTGGAAGGTTTTCAGGTCTGTGAGTAAACATTCTGTTCTATTTCAGTTATTTTAAATTTAATGTTTTATTATTTTTTATTTTCATATATTTATTATAATTTAGTTAAATATATGAAAGAAAACGTTTAAAACTAATAATAATGATAGTTAGACAGTTATTTATTTAAATGTTCTGTTAGTTTAAAATAAGAAAATAAAAACATAAAAATTATTAAA